CTACCAAGGCCTTACCCTTACTGGACCCACCGGCGGGGACCTCTGGGGGAATTACCTTTCTGTAGTTCCTGGCATACCAAGCTCGTAGAGCCGAGTCCATAGGCATTCCTGTTGGAAAAGGGTCACTTGACTGTCCACCAGCTATCTTGCGCCAGTCTTCCGCCAACGAGCAACATTGTTCTTCCAACCTTTCTTTCAGCTCCACTTCAGAGAAAACCTTCGGCGGCATCTCAGGGGCTGACTCTCCATGACCGAGTGTCATGGACATAACGGGTAATGTGTGAGCTTCTTGTTCTTCCTTGAGGACCGATCCGAAAGAAGTATTGGACTTCTGATTGTCTTCTTCTTCTGAACTAAGCACGACTTCCGATTCCCTAAAATGGGACAGATATGATAACCAGGGATTACTAGCTGTGGCTGATGGCCCTAGTCTTCCAGGTATCAGGGGTAGAGGCGGGTTCCTTCCAAGTCCTAACAGGGTACTACGAGGAGGGACTGGAGGTCTTGACTTCTGTGGGTTAGACACTTTAATGAGAAGTGATAACGAAGGCTGAGGGAGGATTTATTTCTCGAGAGAAACCTGTCAGCATTTGAAAGGGATAGCACGAGTGGCTTTACACGTAGGGAGACACGAGTGCTGACTCTAGAGAGGCAATCTATTAAAGCCTAATGGCTGCCTGTAGAGCGATGGATTTGATTAAGGGTAGAGGGGTGCTTCTCAATTTTGTTATCGGTTTGTCACCGAGTTGAGGAGCAAGGAGAGAAGGCAAGTTAGTTTTTATGCATAGGGAAACCAACGAGCCTTTGGATGTAGGTTTGTGGTTTGTTGAAGTTCAGTAACTGAGGGACAAGTAGACTTTCACGAAAAGGTCGACAAGTCCCAAAAGCTGCATAGAGTTTTTCAATTTTGTTATGCCCGAGTGCAGTGACTTCTTCAAATGGAATAGACACAAAGCGCACAAGGTGGGAGACTATGGGCCGAACTTATCGTAACCCCTATGGCTGAGTTATCGCGAGAATCCAACAGAGGTTCTGTCTGCTGGCGAGTCCCTAAGGTTGTTCGCCTGGAGAGAGAACAAGAATTAAAGCGAAGGGATGAAGCTCAGTTGCAAGCTATCGAAAAACTGCCAATACAGGATGAAGTACGTAGGATTATATACTCCTAAGTACGAGTACCGTAACAGTTGCGAGCGATGCGTCACGACACGTATCCACAGTAATCAACAAGCTCATCAATGAAATAGAAAAGAGTCATACAGTGTCAAAGACAGGGGTAGGCAAGGGAACGAGGGCTATACTGGCTGCGCAATCAATGCGCAGCAAGGAGCCTGACACCAGATCTATAGTACAACATGTAAGCAACAAAGACAAGTCAGAAGCGAGTCAACGGGTCAAGAAGGGAACAAGTCGACCATCAGAGAGGGCAGTGAAATACTGGATCACAGTGGCAATGCGGTCTCAACAGGCATTGGAAATACCTTGACAGTGGGAGATCTGAACATTCCATGGAGCATTCGAGCCCCTAGGATGGCAACTATTATTAAGGATGCGACAAGGCACATGATGCACATGACTGCAAAGAGTCGAAAAAGGAAAGACCCCTGACGGAAGCGTAACACCACCCTGTTTGTTCTGTGTCATAAAACAATAGACTCCATCAGGATCACCTGACTGTTCCATCAGTTCATTTATTCTTGCTTCAGTGTACCTGAATTGGTAATCTCCAATCATGGACTGCAGTTCACATCTTCCTTTATGAAGGAGCTGTACAAGGCTATAGGGGTAACCCCAAAACTCTCCACAGGGTATCACTCGCAAACCAATGGAGAAAGCAAACATGTCAATCAAGAAGTGGAAGGATACCTTCAGCTGCACTGTGCCAAGACACCAAACTCATGGGCTGCCAAGTTACCATCAGTGGAGTTTGCACACAATTCTTGTGTCCACTCAGTACATCAAATGACTCCATTTTCACTGCTTCTGGGTTTTGACCCTTCCCCCTATCCTGAAAAACATCTTACTGCAGTCCCCTCAGTTGATGAAAGACTCGAAAGGCTGGCCTTGAACTGTGATGTCACCATTCTTGCACACAAGAAAGCACAGGACCTGATGTGCTTGCACTCAAAAGGGTCCTATGTTGTGCCCAGGATTGGAGATCAAGTTCTCCTGGATACTGGGCCTCTTCATGTCAAAAACCAGTGTGACAAGATTGTGCCCCAATGTCTCAGACCTTTCAAGGTGACTCAGGTGGTGTCTCCAGTCGCTTTCCAATTGGCACTCCTGCCAACCTGGAAGGTTCATCTGGTGTTCCACACCTCCCAGATCTTCCCCTTCACCAAAAACAATACTTATGGCACTGCACCCACAGCACCACTGCCTGAACTTGTGGATGATGAAATTGAATGGGAGGTCAAGTCAATAATTAATCACAAGGTTGATGGGCACAGGGGTAAGTGAAAGTACCTGGTCAAGTGGAAAGGATTCCCCCATTCATCAAATACCTGGGAACCCAAAGAACATATAAAAGACCACACTTCAGAAGCCCTTGACCAGTACAAACTTGCCTGCCACCTTCACAACTAAATGGACTCCCCTTGCTCTGTCAACACAGAAAATGACTACACTGACCTCCCCCTTGCAGAATCCATTTATGACCCTGCAGCTGACAGGGATGACCTTCTCTTCCCTCCCATCACTGTCTATGCCCCAACCTCACCTCCAATGACCACTGCCAGCTTTTCTGACTTGTACCCCTTGTCCCCCATCTCACAACCTTGCATGACATTGCCCCCTCTTGCCTGACCTCTCCAACTGCATCCATACATGTCCTTCTTGGTCAAGAGGGTCCCCACCCCCAAGGCCAGAGTCCCCCTCAGTGGAGACAGTAGCCAGCAGGGAAAGGGTAAGGGTAAGGTGAAGTTTGGTGATGACCCTGATAGTCGAACAGCTGAGAGTGGTCACCCCAATGCTCCCCAACCTGCCAACATATGCACCACCTTCACCACCTACTCCAATGGTGCACACCACACTGCCCTTGATCTCCTTGCCACTGCAGCCCTTGCCCAGGATGACAAGCTGAGACTACCAGTCTCAGCAGTTGACTACCTGGACATTGTTAGGGCACTTGACCTCTTCCATGACAGGGACAACATTGATGGGTGCACACCAGAACAGGTTAAGTATTTTGGGATGCTGTCTGAAATCTACAGAGCAACAGACGTGATCAATCATGTCATCTCTAAGATCTGCACCCAAAAACTTAGTGGCACTGCCCCCCTTTCAGAGGTCATTATGATCAATATCCTGGAGCATGGATCTTCAGAACTTCTAGAAGCAGTTACTGGTGGTGCCTACCACCACCTTCTTCAACAACAGATCAGTGAGTTTCTTGCCCCACCTGCTTCTCACCTTCTTGATCACATTTGCTTGAAGCAAGAGGAATCATCAGCTTCAAAGGAAGAAGTCAAGATGGAACAAGAGAAGGTAGATGGGTGGTGCACTCTTGAGTTGATGTATGTTGATGGAGTGGCCTTGTATAAAGAGGTTGGTGTTCAACTTGGGACTGGAACTCACAGTTCTGCCTGGGAGGTTTTGCTGCAGGATGCCACATGGGCTGGCCTACACAAGCAATATCATAATGCCATCCATGCCACTGACCCTCTCCCTGCTACTCCCTTTGTCCCTGCCCCTCTTGACCAACTTTGTTTCTACCTTGGAGGGCAGTCCCCCCTCCCCACTGACCATGTCCTTTACCAACACGTGTGTTTCCAGTGTCATTACCTGGGACATTGGTCTTGCCACAACAGACATGGCTCCCACTATACTCCAGCCCTCAAGGAACCACCATCTCCATCACCTGTGTCGCCTGTCACCACTCACACTTGCTCCTGCACCTATACCACTTAGAGACCCCTTTCCTTGTGCCCCATCAACACATCTGATCCATCCTCAAGGGTCTGAGGACCTTAGAGGGGGGGTGATGCTATGCCCATGTCAGGGGTCTTTCCTTTTTTGACTTCTCGTGGTCACATGCATCACATGCCTCATCATGTCTCTCATAATCATCACCATCCTAGGGGCTCGTATGCTGCATGGCAACCTTGGATCTCCCACTGTCAAGGTATTTCCAATACCTGTCAATCACACCACCTCGGAAGATCTGGTGTTCCACCACCCTCTCTGATGGATGATATGTTACATCCTTTCCTGTGACTCCTTTCTGACTCATTTATGTTGCTCATATGTTTACTTTCTGCTCTGGTGTCTGGCTCCTCACTGTGCATTGATTGCACAGCCAGTATAGCCTTTGTTTCCTTGCCTATCCCCATCATATGACACTGTATGACTCCTTCTAACTTATTTATTTGACTGATGCCTTTGTTGATTACTGCAGATATGTGTTGCAATGCAACTATTGCGACTGGTACAGTACTCACTGTCTATAGGTATATAACCTCAAGTACTTTGTCCTGTATCCTCAGTTTTTTGATAGCTTGCAACTCAGCTTCATCCCTTCACTTCTGTCTTTATTCCCTCCTCTGCATGATCTCAGAAGAACTCACCAGAAGGAGCAAACCTCTGTCAGACTTTTGCAATAACTGAGCCATGGGGGTTATGATAAGTTCAGCCCATAGTCTCCCCCTCACATGCATTGTGCCTAGTCCATTTGACAAAGTCACTCTGCTTGGGCATAACAACAGACACCACACCTTTGTATTCATTGCTTGTGCCACTTCTTTGGATGACCATCCTCACTGCTCAGTGCTGTGCAAACCACTTTAGGACACCCTACATATGTGGATCTGTCAGAGCTTTCTTGTCCTGGGCAACTGGATTTTTGCCAACTGCAGCTCTTTTGATCTTGTTACCAAATGCAGTGTTGAAGAGCACATCAATTTCATCTGTGGGTAGGTCACATTTTCATGGTGATTTCTTTGGAGAGGGAGCCTTCATGTCAGTAGTGGGTAATGATGCAACTGTGGCATGGTGCTGTTGGCATGTCATAGGAGTAGGGAATCTGCCAGCCTCTGTGCAACCACCTCTCTCCATTCTACTACAACACCCTCAACTTCATGCTTCTGCAGAAGAGCAAGGATCTCCTGGGAGACATTGTGAGCAGTTTCAGGGGAGGTAGAACTGGGTAGGACACCAATCCAGATAACAACCAGACCAAGACTCCCCTTTTCCTCCTCTCCTGGCAGACTGTGTGTGAAGAAGCAGGCCAGGGCAATGGAGGACCACTGGATCTTCTGTGCCTCAATGACGTTGCAAATCTGGGGAAGGACAGCACCCCAGACCTGATTCAGTGGGGTACCAAAGACTCCACAGACTGACTTGATGGGGATATGAAAGAATCTGCCAATGGGCTTGGGGAATGGCATAGTGAGGGAGTCAGAACAGTACACAAGTTCTGGGTGGTCACCATCCCCAGTAATGCCATTGTAATAGGAGGCCCTCTCATAAGGGTCAGGACCATGCTTGGAAACAACAGTTCCTTCACTGGCGAAGGTGAGGGCAGAGAAATTGGATGTCATGGGTGAGTCGCTAAAGGCTGGGGAGCTGGGCAAGCAAGGCAAATCAGGACCCTTGTATTGCTGGCCCTGGATGTTGAGGCACTGAAGGGCAAATAGGGAGAGCTCTGGATGGAAGGTTGTAAGTGTGGTATGGACATGGAAAGAAGTAAAAGGGCTTGCTGAGTAGTTCCAGATGTTCTGTCATAGTCTGAATCACCTGCATGGCAAATTCAGACACTCCTATAGGGGAGATGGTAAGTATGACATGGACCTTGCAATGAGTTGATAGTGAAAGGATGAGCAAGGAGGACAAGCAAGCAAGAAGGATGAATGAGTCTCCTCTCAGGATGACTAGCTAGCACCAAGGATGCTGGAAGACATGCCATTGCAGATATAGATGAAGGGACTCACCTTCACCAAGGAGGCCTGCATTGTTCAGTTCAGCCTCAGAGAATGGAAAGGCTTTGAAAGGTCAGCATGGAATAGACAAGGGAAAGAAATGATAGGACACACTGGGGGGATCCATAATGAAGTTGTAATCACAGTGTTGAGTTGAGTAAGAGCCTGTCAGATAGTGATGCAGAGATGTATCAGAGATTTAAAATAGTTATGCTTACTAATTGATGTGTAGCACCTCTGACTGATATGGTGGCATGCATCCCTAGCTTGCAATGAATCTGCTCTGGATGCCCACAAGGAGTTCAATTACCCAGACCTCACCCAAAAGTGCTGATGTATGGTATGATTCAGGGGGCTTCTTTAGGGCTGGAAAATAATTGCTGCTGCACATGTGATAAGACTGAGAATCAATGTTATAAACTGGTGGAGGTGCTGCTGAACTTCAGGTCACTGATGAATGATCCATTTGCAAACTATGGGAAATCAGAACAAAACAGAATGGATGCAAACAAATGAAAATGGAGGGAGGCCCTAATTACTCTTTCAACATTTGCACTAACTCCCACCATCTATCCTTCATCAGAGATGCCATGATCATCTGATATGATTGTCCTCAGCCAAGACTGACATTCCCTAGGTGCACAGCAGGTCTTGGGCTGTGCTGTACATTAAATCTACTGGTAGAAGCAGAGTAGACCAGGATACAAATCTCTGATTATGCTATTGCTGCTTGGAAGAAATGGATTCCTTGCAGAAGAATGCAGAACAGATGCAGATTCTGCCTTATCCATTGTCGTTCACTATCTTTTTGGATTTTGAATGGCTTTCGCCGGCCACCACTACTCGTCGGTAGCCGACCTTGTGGAGGTTCATGAAAAATCTCCTGTTTCTACGTACCTGTACTCCCAGGAGTTCTCTTATATCATAAAGACTGGTGGAGTTATTGTTCACCCCACTTGATTGATGCTACTGTATGGTTGATTCAAGGACACTAGGTCCTCTCCTGCAAACAAGTGCAGAAGTATGAAGTATTCTAACCTACAATGTCGAAATAGCAGCGACCTATCATACCTGTCAATGAGATCCTCACATATTCGAGCGGTGAACAGGGTTCCTCGAATACCTTGGGAATAAGGATTATAGCGTCCACAAACGCGAAAATGGGCCTCAGCAGTGCACCACAGACACCACGCCTTTGTATTCATCGCTTGCGCCGCTTCTTTGGATGTCCATCCTCACCGCTGGGTGCTGCGCAAACCGCTTTTAGGACATCCTGCATATGTGGATCTGTCAGGGCTTTCTTGTCTTGGGCAACTGAATTTTGGCCAATTGCGGCTCTTTTGATCTTGTTACCAAGCGCAGTGTCAAAGAGCACATCAATTTCATCTGCGGGTGGGTCGCGTTTTCGTGGTGATTTCTTCGGAGAGGGAGCCTTCTTGTCAGCAGTGGGTAATGACGCAACTGACGGTGGCTGCAACGGCGTTGGTGCAGACACACTAGTCTGCTCAGCCTTTTCTCCGCTCGTGGTAGCTTTGCTCTTCGACTGAAGTTGTTTCCATTCGTCTGGGCGTCGTTTCAAGAGATATAAATTCAGGTTACGAGCGAAGAATTTTCCATAGTAGGATGCGGCTAGACTTTGCTCTTGAGGCATGATCGACCGAGCGATCTTTTCCTAGTTTCATTGTCATATCGCAGAGTTAAAGACACGGTGGGAACAGTTGGACCAACCCTCAGATACGGATCAGCAAAAGCCCAAAAGCGATCACCAACTCGGCTGCCTATCCGGTCATCGACGAGCTCATGATAATGTCCAATCATGGACGTCACAAGGCGCCGCTTAGCCTGGAAAGGAACTGTAGGTGACTCCAACATCGCGTCTAGGATCCGTGAACTTGTTGCGTTGTGGGACAGTACGAGAAGGTCCTGCACCGAGAGTGATCCAATGCTGCTCATTTGGAGTTAGTGAAGACAATGACAGGTATAATCTCGCTGGCGGACCTATCCACAACCGTTAAACAGTGCGGTTCCGGAAGCTTCAGAAGTGATTGTAGAAGGAGGGCACCCTGTACGGTTGGCTCGCGCGGGTTTGGTGCATCCTTCTTGCGACGTGGCTTCTTGCCGTCACTCGCCTCCCGTAATCCCTCTTCCGTTAAGGGAAGCTCCTCGTATTCCTACTGAACGAGTCAGAAGGACAATTCACATAGCTTACAGGGCACAAACCTTTAAGTTCTTCAGAACCAACGCACAAGGTACCAATTTGGTGCGAACTCCTAGATCAGAAAGGCCGAAACCAGTGAAGACAGCCTGATCAACGAATGCGTCAGCGGAATCACGACAATAATATAGGGAAGGTTACCTCGCAAACGTCTTTTTCACGACATCCGAGCACTTTAGCTCTGTCTACAAGACTACGCAAAACTCCCGTTCTGGAAGACTCTTTCAGGGTAACTTAGTAAACGTCAATATCGATCCAACATCACACTCACGGATAGCTTTGTCCCACGAAAGGCTCAGCTCCTTCAAAGCGTCCTTGAGCTGGTTGCTGTCTAACCGTTCGATGGATTTGGAGACGACGAAATTTGCCACGGGATGCAGCGCCAACCGCTGCAGTTTTCCTTGGAAGTATGCTGACCACAGTTGGGTAAAGACATAGTCTGGACACCGTGATACTAAGGTTTCTAATAGATGCGATGATGTCGGATCCCGTAATAAAGTAACTAGGAAATCAGATGGTTCCGGCGGTGTATCCGCAGCCATTTCTGCAACAACGTCATCAACAATGAATGGATGGATTCAATAACAATGCACGCACTGGAGGACGTAATCATTCCTACCAAGACCCGGTCCATGAGCGAATCGGGAGACGCCTCTTCGCCAATTTCCGCTTCGATTTCCAAGAGTAGCTACCATCAAAACAATAAGAAAGTTTACAAAGACACAAATGTGGCGCTGAATGGCATACTTGTAAGACGGGGCTGGCGACTTTGTTTGCAGCGAGTGCTCTGACCTCGTTGGCACTCAACTGCTCTCTTAAGTCACGCATAAACCGCACAGCGACATCGCGGAATCGGTTGGGTACTGAAACATTTGGTGTCTCATTCCCTTTTCCTTTCTCATTGGAGAAAACAGATTTCATGGTGCCTTGTTTTGCCTTCCATGCCGTACTTTTTTTGGATCGAACGAATTTTTGAGGCGTTAGCTCGCCAGGTAGAGCGATCGGAAATAGAAGTAGCAGCAAGGATCGAAGCACATGAGATGCGAAGGGGTCCATGATCAGAGATGGAAAGGTGGGCGCGATTTCCTAGAAGTAATGTGTGAACAAGCCGCAGCGTGGATATAAGAACACCGCATACGTCACAAATGTCGAGGATGAGCTGCGTCAGGGTACGAAGCTCGCCCCTGTCACCTGGCTCCGGGACCTCTGCTACGATGCCTCTTGTCTGAGAGAATTGTTAAACTTGGATCCCGAAAATGGGAGAAAACCCAGACCTCTCGGGAGACAGTATCGACCGCGACTGAGAAAAAGGTTTGGCAAACATGGGATGCGAAACGATGTTTGATGAGTACCTCGAACCTAGGAAGTGAATTAAACCGGGGCAGGCAAAGTCGGCAAACGTCTGGACTCACGAGCCACATAAACTGTCTATGAATACTCGTCGCACAAAGTCATCCATGGAATAGAGGACGCGCTCCAACACAACGGAACACTCGGGATCTGTAGCAAGTTGTCTCTCTTTGCCAGACATCTCGTTCAACGCAGCTACGAAAAAAAGTCGTTTCGCTTCAAATAGTGTAAAGCTCATCTTGTGGCCTAGTTTGAGATGTGCAACTGCTCACCCTCATTCGGATCCAAGTCGATATTCTCGTCCGGTGTATGTTCTTCGTCTTGCCATGCCCGCATCTGGTCGTCAACGGTTCGGAAGTAGGCCTTGATATCTGGGTCGATATATCCGAATGGGACTTCTGGGTTCACATTCTCTGTTTGGCGCGCCGAGATGATCCAAGACGGTCCCCCAGAGGGTTCTTCGTGTTCTTGTCCTTGGTTTGGGAAATCTTCTTCTTGCTGAGACTTTTTGCGTTTCTTTCCACGTTTTCGCAGTTCCTTTGGCATCTCGTTAAAAAGTCAGAGCTGCTTAAAGCCGTAGGCCCGGTCGGTATGGACGAATCAGACGAGGACCCGAAGACAGGGTTGAGGACCCCGGAGAACCCGACTGGTTTGAGGTTACATGATAGATCTCATCTCGACTACACAGTACTAGTCATGGCACCGATGTCGTGCGCGCTCTGTCAAAACGCAAAGGCAATCTTGAAGAGACCAAAAACTGGCCAACAGATATGCAAAGAATGTTTCTTTTTTGTCTTCGAGACGGAGGTACACAATACCATCATCCAGGCGCACTTGTTCGAGCCAGGAGACAGGGTGGCTATCGGTGCTTCGGGTGGAAAGGGTGCGTACCGATGCGTAGAAGACTTTGTTAGAGTCTTACCTTGCGACAGATTCTACAGTTCTTGCATATGTTATGAAGACGCTGAACGAACGATATAATTACGGTCTCGAACTATTCCTTTTGTCCATAGACGAAGGTATCACAGGGTACCGCGATGATTCGCTAGAGGTACGTCATATCTCTACTGTGACGTTCTTTGGGGTCCATTAACCATGCGTAGACCGTCAAGCGCAATCAACAACAATACAACATGCCTCTAAAGATCTTATCCTACGAAGAGCTATATGGCTGGACAATGGATGCGATCGTCGCAGAGATCGGAAAAAAGAACAACTGCACTTTCTGCGGTGTATTCCGGCGGCAGGCCCTTGATAGAGGTGCCTCTGCATTGGAAGTCGACCACATTGTCACTGGACATAACGCAGACGATATCGCGGAAACGGTGTTGATGAACAGTGAGTAACAATGCAAATAGCCCGCTTGCCATGATGAGATATTCGTGGATTGCAGTTATGCGCGGCGACATCGCTCGCCTTGGCCGATGTACACAGATATGTACACGGGGGGAAGATACAATCAAGAGATCAAAACCTTTCAAATATGCGTACGAGAAAGAGATCGTCATGTCAGTACGTTCTGTTTGACTGTCGGGGGGCTTGACCGATTTTATTCCGTAGGTACGCATACTTCAAAAAGTTGGATTACTTTTCCACGGAGTGCATATATTCCCCGGACGCTTATCGCGGCCACGCGCGCACTTTTCTCAAGGACTTAGAGGCTGCCCGACCTAGTGCGATTATCGACATTATCCATTCTGGCGAAGCATTCGAATTAAGGGAAGATATCAAAGCAACGCAGAAGCAACAACGTACGGCTTTTGTTTTTAACTACTTTGCAGCTACTCATCCCTCTGTGCAGAAACATGCAAAAGGTGTGGTTACATGTCCAGCAACGACCTTTGCAAGGCTTGTACACTACTAGAGGGCTTGGAACGTGGCATGGCCGGCTCAGTTATAGTAGGTGTTGACTTTCGTCCACCCGAGCTTGACATTCAACTGTATTGCAGACGGATCGTGCACGCAAGAAGTTGGACGCGATGGGACCTGCACCGGACAATTTGAGGACGATACCCCACTTCCAATCACCTCGACCAGTCGTATCCATCCAATCACCGTCCCAAGAAAGCTGATGAATTCTGGGTATCCCTCAAGTGTTAATAGGTTCCTAAAGTACGGTTTGAGCGTCAGCCCGAAGCTGATTTTCGCCCTTGCGCAGCACAAAAAGTTTCCAGGAGGCTATCACAATTCGCTAATAACTCCTTCACGTGGGCATCCTCTGCCCTCGACTCCACGAATTTCATCGTCCCGACGTACTCGGTTCCCCAGCGATCGGTCTGGGACACGTACAGAGTACCGACTTCAGCAGGTTCCGACGCCTTTGTTGAGGCATCCGGCTTTTCAACTCGTTCCACCGCTGGCAAGTAGACGAGCGGAACGAGTGCCAGATGTACAGCAGAGATGGCTGCCTTGAAGGCACTTATGGGATGATACGGTGATCCCAACCACCGAGCCTACAGGCATTAAGAGTTTATGATGAAAGTACTCGGTTTACACCGCCACTTACTATGTAGAATGTTACAATCATGCACACGGCCGTGAAGCGTCCAAGCAACGCACTGGCGATGTTTGTTCCGGCTATGCCAGGTAATACGGAGAAGTGTCTCACGACAGGCATTCCAGGCTGACGGTGTTCCGTCGCCTCTTGGTCTAGGCGTAGAGCCAACAAGTTGAGTTGGTATTTGGAGGACTGATACGAGTGGTCGTCGTTAATTAGCTGCCAATCTTTTGGATCATAGAACTCAGAAGTAGCCTCCTGAGATGATAACCAAAGCACGCGAGCACCCATGGACCCCGTGTATTTGGCGAGGTGAGGTTCGAGGGCTCGAAACTACGCTGAATGTCAACATGCATTGCATCGTCATAAATGGGTACCCACTAGGACGTAGTGTCCAAAGATGTTGCATTGCCACAACCAACCCAGGCCATCCTCACTGATACGACCCGTGCTCTGAAGGAAATATTTTGGCGCTGTGACGGCGCCGATGAAGTCCTTAGCAAGTTGCACCAAGCAAAGAGGACCAGTCGATTTTCGCAAAGCAGACCACACCGGCGTTGCATATGAGATGCGAGATATACGGGTATCTGGAAGTACATGGGTGTTCAAAGTATGAAAATCAGCGTCCAAGGCGGACTCACGTTTGTATCACCTCATCCGCAAAGTCAAAAACACTCCGAACGCATGCCAAGTCTATGAGATGTATAGCGATAACGAGGTTTTGACGAAACTTGTCGGCGCGGCCATCATAACGCGGCGACTTGCGAAGTTGCGAGATATGCTTGTCAAGTAAACTGTACAGCTGAGATTTTGCTGCCTCTGCGCGCTGTCTGCTTCTGCATGCGAGGATGAGAGTGAGACCCTCGCAGGGAAGCTGGGGGTCAGCAGAAGCCAAGAAGTTATGGAAGGGATATTTTGGGTATGCATCCTCGCAACGGTTGGACGAGAGTTGGACGAGGAGACGGTGACAGATTCCGAAACCCACGCCGCTGTGAAACGTCCGTCCAAGTGAGCCGTGTTGTTGAGCACGCCAACTAACTCCAGTGAGACCCACCTGTTGGCACCTGTGACGATGATGATTGGTCTGTCCATGTCGAAGAGCAGAAGAACAAAAGAACCGAGTCCGCACTGCTAACAATATATATATATGTACTGTAGACCGCCCGTCGTACCACTTTTTTTTCCCTCACGCCCACTTCCGCCCGTTCCAGAACGGTCATTCTGAAACGCGGCCACCTAGATACATGGACATCCTAAATTAGCAATCCTAAATTAGCAACCCTCGTCATCGTCTTGTCCTCCCACCACCATGGCTTCCGCTGCAATCCAGTGGGCACCGGCACCCGGAAGACACAAGGTTGCCATTGGTTCGTCTCTAGCTAGAGCCCTCAAGGCAAGGAAAGGCCCGGCGCCGCCCAAACGATCGAACCTACCCGATCGTGACTTCTATTCGTTTAGGTGTATGTCTCATAGTGTCTCACCAGCTCGTCACTCCACTGACTACCTCTTTGCTAGACAATTTCACTCCAGAATCTATTGACCCAGATAGACCCGGCACTGTCGAAGTTAAGCGTGGCAAGGAATCCACGTCTATTTCCCTTGAACGACCTAGTACACAGGTACGGCTGCCACCGCTCCGACTTCCCGCGGCGATTAACCACTCGGTTCACAGGGAGAGAACTATGTCTTCAAAGGGATCGAACATCCAGTCAAGGACTACGATTGTGTACTAATTTACGATGAGGAGCTTGGCGTAAGCATTGGGCCCATGAACCTCCGCCCATAGGCTTACTTGCGTCTTATAATATCAGACTTTCACCCTCGAAAAAGTAGACGGATTCATGACGTTTAGTTACGACAGAAAAGTACAAGGTTCAGGGCCAAGTACCCAGAACGTCACTTCTCGTAAGCATTCAATTCCACCACTAGGCGCTGGTCGCTTCCTGACCGGCGGTTCACGCTATTCTACCGCCCATGTAGCCCAAACGTCCACCCCACAAACTAGAGATGATTCAGACCTTGATAAAAAACTCGAAGAGCTTCTCGGTACCGAAGATGCGGAAGGAGAACCCGACGACGAGTACGAGGAAGTAATAAATACGCGGAACATGCGCAAGGAGGAAGAAGAGGAGGAGGAGGACCTGCTAGAAACATTACTAAAGCCATCTCCACCCGTCCGGCCACCAGATCCACCTCCCAAGCAGAAGGCATCACGCGCTCCGCTGAAGAAACAAGAATCTATACCAAAACCCAAGACGATATCAAAAGATGCGGCGAAACCCAAGAAGGAGCCCGAGAGTCGCGTAATGTTAGATTCGGTTTTGGTGGAAGAACTCGACCCCGGAGTTCTTCCTGCGCGCCCACTCAAACGACATAAACCCACCCCACCTGAGGGTCTGGCTCTACCTAGTGCCTCCGCTTCCGTCGACCTACCGTCTTCGCGGCCACCTCCGCCAGCCCAGGATGCAGATGACTCTGACTTAGATGACTACTGGGAATCCGTACTCGTAGAACCGGAGCCAGGAACCGACCTGGATAACGATGCAGAGGAAATCGATCCCGATGAGTTCGGTCGGGAAATGGAGGCACAACTAGGAGGAACCGGGGATGAAGGTTCTCCGGAACCGGATACCAAGCGACAACCGATGTCGCTTAATGATTTTGCGCGAAGCCAGTTCGGCGGTCAGTACAGCGATGATAGTTCGTCGTCGAGTGAGGAGAGCGACGACGAATAGTCGTACATCTCGTGGATTGCTGGCGCCCACATAATCCTGTCGATCACACCCGTATTCTAATGTCTTATACCTCGTGTGTATTATACGTCTCTCAATGTACATACGTAGTCGCTGAGTATGTAGTAACCATGTTCAACACAATTTTGAGCATTAACCGCGTGGTAAAGTCGGTCGTTGTGCAGTCAGAAGGGCTTCAGATGTGACTGAATATGCAAGGACAATGTTCGACATGGTATTGAGAACATATGCAACCTGATGTACACGGCCCAACAGATGTGTCGACTGCAGAAGCCGGTGGGGCTTAAGCCTCGCTCTTCTTCTTTTTCTTTTTTGGGGCTTCACCGTCGACAGTGGCAGAAGCGGCCTCTGCAGCCTTCTTCTCAGCTTTGCGCGCCTTCTTCTTTGCCTTGCGCTCTTCCTCTGTCTCAACGGGTTCCCCCTACAAAGTCGTGCGTCAATACTTCGCTGGAAACCCCAATGGCAAGGACGTACACTGGGCTGGTCGGCGTCAGCCTGTCCATTAACCTCGCTCTCTCTCCGTTTACGCTTCTTATCCTTCTTACTCTCCTTCGGGTGCCCATCTACATCCATGCCGTCGGCAATAACCTCCGTTTCTGCAAATGGTTCTTCCTTCTCAGCCTTCTGTTTTGCCTTCTTGCCCTCTTTCGCCTTCCGCTTCTCTTCCTTGACATCCAACACTGCCCTCATGGCCGCCTCCAACGGCTCCCGTTGTGAAGGAACAAGGTCAACCGCATCTGCGGCTGTATTATAGGTCTGTGTGTCACCCTTCATGGAGAACCGTTGCTGGTTCTTGTTATTCCCATCTGCGAATCGTCGTACGCCGGACCCGTCTAACTGATACTCGAGTGCACGCAGACGAGATTCCAGTTTAGAGCGGCTTTCAAGGCCCACGGAAGGCGCATGCTCTTCCGACTTACCATCTGCATCTGTCAGTGCGTCGACACGTATTGAAAGTGCGGTTTTAGTCGCCACCATGCGGGCCATCTTGGAAGGAGGTTAGATGTGGAAGTGAAAGAGATACATTTTCACAGACCTTGCCCTTGAGTTTTGGTGGTGCTTGGCCAACTAGTGATGCCTGGGCTATGTTCAGTTTTCCACGACGAAATTGCATGTGGACGTGGGCGTACATGGTATATGATACCGTACTTCGGTGTATCATGCTTGGTCTTCAACGCGCGGAACAAAGCCTTTTCCGCACCAAGGATTTGTACAGTACTGGCAGGGAACTTTGCAAGGTTCAACAAACTACCAGCGTGAGCAATTAGTCGTGCTCCAACAAGATCGCCGACAAGCGTGGTTAGGTTTGGGGCGATAGCATTCATCCGATTTCGCAGGTACTCCGCCAACTGGGCTCGGTAGGCGGATATGGCGATGATCTGATCACATAGAGCGTGTATGTGTTGAATATCACTGTCGGATATTTCGGTACCCATAGAAATTTCAGCGGCTGCTTTGACGACTGCTTCTAAATCTTCTGGAAGGATTTTCTCGAATGAGGTGGTGGCTGCATCTGTGCGGAAACCTAGAGTAGTGTGTGAGGGCATTGAGAACAAGGCAAAAACTAGTGGATTCTTACCCATGGCGCGCACAACTTTGGCGTACGCGATGTTGTCGTTGATTATTTTTGCAAGTTCGGGGAAGTGCCAACCATACCATTCCTGAGGAGAACGCCCGGAAACTAGTTCGCGTGTTGTAGAGAAAAGTGTGCGGAAAACACCCCACCTTGACACGCATGGCATAGATATTTATCTCCTTGTCGAGATCGTCGAGTAAAGCAATGGCTTGCACGATCATGGTGTCCACCTTGTTCGGGGAGAATTTGAGCTTGAACCTGGTCCACGCGTTCAGTCGTGTGAGGTGAGTCTACATAGGCCCGACTCACCGTGATAGTGAATGGCTGAGACCTAGACTCATAGTAGCCAGATCTTTTGGGTCCAGGCCATCAAGTAAAGCTGCTACCTGACTTCGAATACCTCTCCATAGGTCGCTATGGTCTTCCACGGGTGATGGTGCGGACACCTTGATGCTGAGTTTCTTGGATATCGAGCGTGCTGCAGACAGGTCAAAAACGCACGCATGACGAGGGAATGGCCATACCTAGGTGAGGATCTACGACCACCAAAGATTCTTTCCCCTTCCCTTTCTCCACCACTTCTTCAGTCAAGAACTTTTTAAGACCCTTGCCGAGCTTGCCCTGCTGAACAGCTGTCAGATCCTCCACAGCGGTCGCCGTCGACGTAAATCGATGCAGTGCCTTCAATCTCAGTCTGTCCATCAATACGAAAAAGATAAGTTCCTCGACTTAGCTATCGTAGTGCACATGTGCGAATGGTACATACAGTTTGTTCGCTCGCTCTGGAGTCTCGAATTCCTTGTAGAGATCAGCCGACTCGAGTTTGGCTGCGTCTGTTAGTTTGAACAGGCAGTAGCCCATCGGAGTCTCGTATAAGACGAGCATTTGGGTGGTTTAGTATGTCCGTCACTAGTAGACTGGACTGCTTGACTGGCTGAGTATATCCTCTCAAGATTTTTCGACCGTGGTAATTGATAGCCACGTGGGACCCTGAAAAGGCAACTGTAATGGTCGCGACGAGTGTATTAGGGGTGATCGGTCACCGTATAAGGCCATACATACATAGACCTCGACAATAATCCGAGTAAGCACACGCACTGAGGGCGAATAATTTGGATCGTTTCTACGGTCATGTTGTTGTTCTGTATACTCCCGTCGTTACTTTTGGGTGCAGTGGCCAAGGGCCTGGCCCAAAGACCCCTTGATATAACAACCTCGCCCGACCTTGGAACAGGTGGACCGGTATTGAGCCTCTCCTCCATACAGTCGGAAAGCGTGTTTGTGTCCTTGGCTCTTCCCGCTTTTCCTAAGCACTCCGTCCGCATCAAGAAGTCATCATTTTGTGACCCTACTGTTTCGTACGTCAACCTTCCGCTCTCCGACAAGATTCCCCGTAATCAAGAACTCTTCCAAGGGTTTACACTGGGTACTTAGACATCAACGGAGGTGCCAAACACCTGTTTTTCTGTTTCTTTGAAAGCAGGAGGGATCCTGCCAACGGTCTGTCGCGTTTCGTAGAGCCTTCGGTCGATTTCTAATGCGCAAAAATCACAGATGATGTCGTCATGTGGATCAACGGAGGTAAGTTATCAATGCATTGCAGTGCGAGAATAATGGTTTGTGAAAATGTGATATAGGCCCTGGATGCACGTCCTCGGTCGGCCTTTTATTCGAGCTAGGTGATTGTTGCTTTCAGAATGACTAAATTGAAGGCAGCTCCATCTTCTTTCGAAGGGCCTTGTAGCATTGACACGACTGGGGGGTCTCCAAACGGTACGAACTGGAACCCGTACTCGTGGAACAACGAGGCAAACATATTCTTCCTCGACCAACCGTGCGTCCAAATGTAGTGGAATGCTCAAACGAGGGTCTCAGTACGTTACAGCGTGGGTGTTGGGTACTCGTACGCCGATTTCGGTGAAACTGTGGAGACGACCGAAGAAGCCGCTCGCAATGTCTACGCTTTCTTGACCATCTTTTTCGAGACTTTCAAGGAATTTTCCGATCGTCCTTTGCATTTGGCTGGCGAATCCTATGCTGTAGGTCCCATGCTAGCGTATCGTATCACTCAGGATGTGATGGGTTTTCAGGGACGCTACCTCCCGGTCTTTGCGAGTGAAATATATGATAAAAACCTCATTGCAATCGCTGAAGGGCGTGGCGTTATTAACCTTCAAAGTGTTCTCATTGGCAACGGTGTCACCGACATTTCGACGTAAGTCTGGCGGGTGTAGGGGGATAGTTGCTGCTGAGCTTGGAGCGTACAGGTTGTACGAGGGTCGATATGAAATAGAGTGTGGTACGGCAGCGTTGGACGTACCTTTTCAGTCTATCGGCAACTGTGTCCGCATCAAGGCAGCAGTAGGTGTTTCATCACACTTCTCATTCTCTGCTGAGTATTTTCCGTTCAGTTACCACGATGCGACAAAGCACTGCGCCGATCCTGTATCGACCGCTTTGACCATATGGACTGCGAGGCCGCCGTTGCTTCTTGTGACAGCCATTTAAGCACAGCGTTCTGGGACAGTGGTAGGAACCATCTTTTAGAGCTGCGTCGTTTTGGTGGCTGACATGACACAAGGACGGAATGCGTACGATGTCTCGAAGGTTGTGCTTATCCGCGGAGTTGCGCGGACGAATGACTTACAAGTGTTTTTAGATGTGCCAAGACCAAGACCTTTGTTATGCTGAGGAAGAGGTAATCCGCCGATTCCTCGATTTACTCAGTACTCGGACAATGCTCGGAGCAGAAAGCCCAGGAAACTTTAGCCTGTGCTCTAGTATGGTCGGACGAAACTTTGTGTCTCATCTGGACAAATGGGCACACCATACCCAAGACTATGTCACGGCACTCCTGGAACGAGGCATCCGGATTCTGATCTACGCGGGTACATATGACTGGCAGTGCAACTGGGTTGCCAATAAACGATGGGTGGACAAACTAGATTGGTCGGGCCGCTCGGCCTATGCTAAAGAGCCGTGGAGACCCTGGATGGTTGATGGAAAGCGAGTTGGGGAAACGAAGACGCATGGAAAACTGACGTTTGCCAGCGTCCTTGGAGCTGGGCATATGATGAGTAGTTTCATTACCGTGGACTTCATTTACTGCGCTAACGTCGTGTATACGTCCCTCATGACAAGCCCGCAGAAGCTTTAGCCTTGGTGTCGAGATGGCTCGCTGGACAAGACATTTGATTCGACTGTGAACTTTGGGAAAATGTGTGGGTGCAAACTCAACCGGGCAGGCTGAATTGGAATAGCTGGTCTCATTTTATCAATACTAAGAAAAAAGAATTATGCCACTAGATTGCTTGTCAAGTGACATGGTGATAGAGTGAAGTATACCAGATACCCGCGAGTAGGTTTACTCCGCGATTCCCGACAGCATATCATCAACTGTCCTCCAAATTGAACCGCACCGCCTTTTTCTTCCTTGGTTTATCTTTGCGATTCGTGTCATCAGCTTCTGCGCGCTTCCGTTTTTTCCGCTTCTCCTCAACACGAGGCTCAGCGCGTTCTGTGGGTGCAACAAAGGCTTCTGCACGTTCTGCCTGACGTTTGGCCGTCGTTTCCGCTTGCTGAATATGTCCTATTAGAAATGGCTGTCAGGTAAATGAGAAACCGGTTAACCTTTTGCTTTCGCTCCTGCAGTTCCTTAGCCTGCTTTTCGTGCCGCTTGAGGAAGTACTCTCCTGACTCTAGTTGGAGATCCACCTAGAAGTCGAAAACAAGTGAGTATGGCAGCACGCCACAAACCATCAGCGCCTTACTTTGCGAGGTTGTTGAGGGGGAGGGAATGGCGTGTAAACCTTCTTAGTCGGTTTCTCTTTCTTGGGCTGTTCAGGTTCAAGACCAGCTGCTTTCCGAGCCTCTGTCTGGGCAGCAACTTTCTCGTTCTTGCGGGCAGTTTTCTCGGACGTCTTGAGATGACGTTTTCTGAACTTCGGTAGGAAGCGATCCCATGATTCGTTAGCCAATTTCGGATCCTTTGCGAGTTCTCGTTTGATCATGAGTTCCTGTCGAAGTGTCAGCGAATACTCGCTGCACAAAATGCATTCCTACCTTTATTCGGTATATGGGGTGGATGTTTCGCATGCAATCCAATACGATGCGTCGAACCTCTTTTAACGACTTGTGCGGCCCCATCACGCTGACAGTGCTACCCTGTACTAGCACGTAACAGTTTGTGAGAAGCTCAATGGCCTTGCGTGTGCGAGTTGATCTTTATTAGTCACGTCAATACATCTCAAAGGACCGAATGACACTACCTTGAGCGTACTACCGTCTGGCCCAATGATGCGCTGTCTGCGTTTCACGAAACGCTCCTTATTACGCACCAAGTTTCCGATCTTGATTATGTCGCAGGCCACATCGTCCTGCAGAATTTTGACTGCTTGCGTTACAGCGACCCCACGGGCAAGAAGCTTTAACATGTCACGCGCTTTTATTAGGATGTACGGATCAAACGTTTTGCGTGTCGTACGGGCGGACATCGATCCGTGGATGAGGTCAAGCGTACAAGCGATCCCCTGAAGAAGAGCGTCCCCTTTTCTTCAATTAAAGACAGAAAGAAGTGTGACGAGCTCGCTCACGTGTGCATCCAGGGCTCGAGTAACGGCACTCCAAACCTCTCTCAGGTACTTCTCTCGGTACTTTGGGAATAAGGTTGCAAACGAAGATTCTTCAGTGAATACGCCGCCCGCATTGTCACTCGGGGTGAAAGACTCGATCTTCCACTGCACGCACATCTTGTCAGCGGAACTGCTACTCGGCTCGCGAGAGCACTTACGCTGCAGAGTGTGAGCTGATTCCAGGGGATTAAGCAAAATATAAACGAAACTCACTGATCAATGTCATCAGTGTCCCAAGCTAGTCCAAGGGATTACTCGGTAGTTATGACTCTACGTGAAGGAAACTTACGCTTGTCTTTTCGGTGCTTCTTGGACTTTTGGGACAGGCTCATCGGGTTGTCCGGACATGTTGCAGTGACAGGGATACTTCAAATTCAAACTTGAACTCAAAAACAAAATCATAATAGTGAGCGTATTGAGCGTGTCACGTGCACTCTACACAACGTGTGATTTGTTTCTTCAAAAACGCTCACTGAATACTCGTAACAACCAACTGCCAAAGACACAGGAATCAAGATGGACAACATCCCGGAAGGAGTCTCCTACGAAGAAACTGTTACATTGTCTTATGATGACTCTGTCCCTTACGAGGAGCAGGTCTCACAGCAAGAACCACCCGCCGAATCTGCACCAACTGGGCAGGCGGCGTTGCTGAATCGTATCGGGGCCACCAAGGTCTACCTCATTTCCGATTCGGTTCAGACAAGAACGGCGAAGGTGCGCTGAATATAACCTGCCCAGTGTGGGCCTTGGAGGACAGCAGCCTGATGCTGCAGGTCTTCTTCATCAACGAAGCGGAAACATTCTGGGCTGGATGAGGACGATGATGACGTTGACATGGACGAAGGCACGTCGTAGGCGTAGGTTTTACCCTTCTATATTATCTTCTGACTGTTGTGAACAGACACGCAGGATTTGAGAGGGAATGCGCTTTTCCTCACTGGAACACCAATATCCCATCTTCCCACTGCTCGCATATTTGCGTATGCAACACACTTTGACGCGCAACCCTTGGCCCTCGAATGGATAAACGACAATAGCTGTATCCTTGTTTTCGAGTCCCAGGCGCAGGCACGATCTGCTCATCGACAGTTGCGGAGATTACTCGCAGAAGACATCGATATGGATGGTTTCGTGACTGCCAAGCCAATTCCAATAACGATGTGGCCGCCAGAGGAGAGGATAAACCGTAGTCTTGGAAAGGGAGAAGGGCTTAAGGGTATCATCAGAATGAGATGGGCAAGGAATGATGACATCAAGAAAAAGGGCGCTAAAAGGGAGAGTCAATTCTACAAGAAGTACGGCCCGACAGCGGGGAAGGAAGGCGATGGGCCTCTCAAGAAAAGGAGAGGAGATGTGGAGGTAGATGTGTCAAAACTTGACGCTGAGCTGGATGCGTACCTCAGAAAGGATAGACGATCGTCACATTCCCCGCCACCCTCGAAGATGCGATCCGATTATATTAACGAGCGAAATGGTGAGAATGCAGGTCAGAATGGAGACCTCAAAGATCGAATTTCTGTAAAACGCCGTGGGCGTTGGGACGGTGCCTTAGGTAGTAGGCCTAGTCCAGGCGACAGGTGGACGCATGTTGGAGAAGAGAGGAGGGAACCAAGGGGAAGAGGCCGGAGGGATAACCGACCGCGTAAGACGCGTCAGGATCTCGATGACGAGCTTGATGCATTCCTCAACGAGAAAGACTAGAGGTGTGCACGACCTGTTCTTTCTACTCGTTTTGCAACAGCTGATAGTGGATTCGGCAGTCGCGCAGAGCGTTGTGATAATCTACTGTATTGCTGTATTTCGAGACTTCGTTGGCCACCATCGTAACTTAGCAGTTACTGATCGACAGATACATATCTCCATTCAGACTAATTGGGCGTCATTTTCTTGTGCTCTTATCCGCGAAGCACCTGTTCTGGCATCGTCGTCCACGACTGATCAGCTATGTGCATCGACACGCGACTTGGAGCGATGCTGCGATGAGCAGGTAGTACGGCAGATGATCTTGCGTGTGCGGAACGATGGCGTGTCAGCCCTCTACCGGTGAGGACCGAGTAGTACATTCTAACGGCGCAAGATCGTGACTCAAAGAGTTGACGACTACCCGGGTCAGACTGGAATGTCTCTGCCCTCATTTTGATAAATGATGCGCCACACCCCGGTAGGCCCGACATCCACATATCCACCGTCTCGTTGATCGGTGTCAATGAGTGGCTACGGGTGATCCATCCTACGATCCGGGGTGCCACAAACAAAAGGACCATCCCGTTGGAAGAGACTGACCACCCTGTAGTCCGCCGGTGACCGCATACCCCACCCTCCTAATGGATCGAGATCCTGCGCAGCTCAAGCAGGTTGACGTGGTGCACGAATGTCCATAAACATCCAAGTAATTGTTTACATACATGGTGCCAGGCGAAAGGTGTGGATCTACTAACGTACGGCATTTGTAAGGTAGGTCTTCTGTTAATCCAACGGTGTCAAGGCGCGATCACGCGTATGAAACGGAAACATAAGAGGAGCCAGATACTTGGACTTTCTAACCCAGCCCCAGTAAGTCATCGTCACTGCCAGTTCGATCGATGGAAACCAGTAATAAACAGTTCCGTTGCGCAATTGTCCGTCAGCTTCGTAATGGAGAAGGGAAGAGCTCTTTCCTTCTTTTGCACATACGTGAGGAGACCAGACCTCTCTTCCAGCTCTTCGTTTTCCGTCCGGGGATGGGTGTGATCGGGTGCACAGCGTGCCAGCGTCCGCAGTGAACCACAGGTTCTTCGGGCCGTTGAGATTTTGCCCAAGGTTCTGCAGTCATTGTTGAGGGTTACCTTGGAAGGAGGACCTCCAGGTTCGTGTGGCTCTCCATTGCCATCGACGTGTTCACTAAACTTGCAGCTTCACTCATCACTCATCGATATTCCATGAATATTCAGGGGTGCTAAGAACAGCGGTACTTGTGGACCGTGTATTTTTTAGACGCCACTATCGCCTGTCGCCCGTGATGTGCACATTGAGAAAGCATTGAGGCTTGAATTCTTTAACGAGATATTCGCGCAGAGCTGCAGGGACTTGCTGCTCGGAGCGTGGCTCAGACAAAAACAGTAACTGGGTGGGTACCATTTAGGTACCAAGCCCTCATGGTACTGGCACTGCCTGTCGATGCGAAGACTGTTCTCGCCCTTGGGTCGTATTTCAGCAGTGCGGAAAGGCATATGTATTTAGACCACCGAGCGAGTGCCATCATCTCGTTGGAAATGCGAGGCAGCAGATAACGTAGATGAATCAATCCCACGACATCTATACATATTCATATACATCCTGAAAGAAGAACGGGACAACGTATGTCACGAAACGCACCTGAGGCTGAGCTCATTGCCGTACGGTACTCCTGTAGCGCTTCCTGCCACAGGGGATGAACGACACGTACCGTGATAATCCCGTCGAGTACCACTGCGTAATGCTGCATGGAGTAGCTGACGGGAGTCAATTAACACACTCTCCGGAAGTCTCAGAAGCGTTTCCATGCTAGAGACTGCGTCGTGAAAGATTCATAGAGCCCGCTACTCACGGGTGGGGCGATGCTAGTGGGCCAGTAGGTCGGTGCCACGGATACTTGTTCTGTAAAGTTTCCTGACGCTCCGTGGTGCAAACCGAGAGGGTCAACTGGAACGCCTGCAGTCGACGGGTGTCCGTTTGGAAAACCCTTGACCCTCGAATTCATGTCTCGCTGCGGAGCCACGCTACTCAAGTTTCCTGCGCAGTTGGTTTCGTGCCAGGACCTATTCCACGGACGCAGACCAGACCAAAAATGCCTGTCTCGTTCGGACTGCTACACAGCACGAAAAGATACTTTTTTTTTTTCTTTGCCTGGGCGATCGGCAAGTACTAGATCTTTGAAGCGAAATGATTACGCTGCCCGCACCCCGGGAGCAGGATGCCTGCGCAACGCATGGAACGCGAGGACGATTGTGATATCCATTTGGCACTAACGCTATGAATGTGACAGACGGGAGTTACACGTAATCAGCCTGAGTCCAGAACGTCGAGGGGGTCGCTGGATGAGTGCACGGGCCATCTCTTGGATGGCGTGTCACGTGTTCTGTTGGATGGATTGAAGCGGAGCGTGAAAGCGGAACCAGCGTCGAAGCGACAAGGCAGTGGTTTTGTTGCCTGCGCGCGCCATTTGTTCCAGCAACGGTTGGGTCAGAGAGTATCTGGCCGGCCTCAAAACGTAGCTGTGTGCGCGACGATCCAAGAGGTCTGTTTGTTCTCCCATCATCATGCTCAGCCAAGAATATTACTTGTTACTACCTCTTATCTCATTCTCTCACCCATCCCCTGCATATGTGGAATATCGTCTCTGATTTCTCTCTCAGTTCTTTATTCGTCTTAACTTAGAGACCCGTTCATGTCCTCTTGGTCTGCCCCCTCTTACCCACTCCCGCCTCGGCGTTCCCGCTCCCGCTCACCCCCCAGAGGTGCATACGTGTCGCGCCCTCCATACCCAGACCCGGTCTATTTTCAGGACCACCGCGGAGGTGCATGGGATCCGCTCGAGAGGGACAGAGCTTGGAACGAGTATGACAGGGACCGTGCCACTTACGACTATGCTCGTCGAGGTCGTAGTCGCAGTCCCCCTCCATCTGACGACAGTGCGTGGCCCTTTCGTCTTCCCCGTGCTTTCGTCTGACTCGCTTCAGCTCGAAAACGTCGTCGTTCAATGTCTCCTTACGACCGTGAGCGCTATGACCCTCGGCCTCGTTATGGCGATGACTATGGTATCGTAACAACCGTGTCTTTCGGTGATACGTGTACTGATGTCGATTCTCTGCAGATGCTCACAATCGTTCCTATGGCTACAGGTCCCCTCCCCGTGCACAATTCCCTCCTGCGCCCTACCCTCCGTCGAGGAGAGCTCCTCCGGACCCTCGTTCCATGGACCACCCTGCCACTCTGAAACAATATGCAGAGTGGTTTAGGTACTACTTCTCCCAACAGGCCCAGGAGGAAGATACCTTGGACAAGGCTGCCGAACAAGAGGCCGGTGACGGTTCTAAGCCACGAAATGGTATACGCTCGCGGTGGGAAAAATACAAGAAGGAGTTTTTTGCTAACCAGGTCAGTAGTTCCTATTTGTTGCTATTCATATCAGTGTCGTTTCCAGCATTGTCATGCATGAGGCTGAGCTGCCGTGTTTGTACTGTAGTTGCAAACTATGTTCGATCATCACCGGAAGTCTCCCTGGTTTGCAGAGAAGTATGACCCTTCACCCGAGTTTGTCGCGCTGCGTCGTCGCGTTAGGAAGGAGGGCTGGAAGGGAAAGCAAGACTTATTCCTTCATGACCTGGAGGCTGGGAAGTATGACCCCGATCTCAATGAATCTGAATCAGAGTTGTCTGTAGCCAAAGAGGGTAACACCTCTGGCGGCCTTGGTGATGGCACAGCGCCGGAGGAGGCGAAGAATGCGGCAGACGATGACATGCAGTTCAATATGGATGCTGAAGAGGACGGTGGTGACCACGAGGCTAACCGTGCAGAGGTGAATGGGAAGGGATTCGTCGACAACAGGCGGGGTAATCGTGGTGAAGAGATATCTGTGCTACCTGAAGGGAATCAAGTCATGATCCGTACTATTCCCCCAGACATTGGGCGGCTCAAACTTGAGGAGGTATGTCGTATCAACTTTTCGACAAGCCGCCCTCCCTTCTTATAGCATTGCACAGGCTTGTAACAATGTTCCGGGTTTCATGTATCTAGCTTTGGGTGATCCACTTCAGAAACGAAATTTCTATCGGGCAGGCTGGATCAGGTTCCGTGACGATGCAGATATGACGGCCGTCATGAATGAGTTGACAGATAAGAAGGTAGGTCCATATTGGAAGGCTGATGTGATTCGATTGTTAAAGAGCCACTGCAGATCGAGGGGTTTAAGCTACACGTCACACACAACACGAAACCCTTTGTCAATCGTGTCCGTTATGTGCCGGAAGTCGCCGGCAAGCCGGATCGGATTGAGAAGGACCTCGCGAATGCGAAGGTTTTGGCGTCCATATTGGAAGATGAGGCTGCTGCTCTCCGGAAGTCTTCTCCGTCCTCTGCGGGTGGCGACGGCATGGATACAAATGGGGATGGTGTGTCAGAACAGGTGCCGATAGGGGATGCGCATGCAGGCAATGAGGACGATCCAGAGCCCAAAGAAGGTGGATCACAGGCTGTGGAGCGGAGGATTGAGAAAATATTGGCGGACTTACGCGAACAGGGCGTCGATGAAAAGACCATAGAGGCGAAAAAGGTAAAGGACACTGCCACTTGTTTGTGTCCGGATTGCACACTTACCTTGTGTGCAGCCGGTAATTTCTTTGGATTTGTATCTTGCCTATCTCCGCGCAGCATACCACACGTGCTATTATTGCGCTGTTGTCACCGATCATGCTGAAGAATTGCAGCGTAAGTGCCTGAAGCACGTGAGGAAACCCCTGTCGAAGTCCACGCTTGAGGAAGTTAAAGCGGTTGAAGCGGAGAAGGAAAAGAAAGATGACGAGAAAGAAACTGATACAGCGAATACGAGGCCGCCTGAGAATAGAGATTGGAAGAGGAATGGTATGTGTGGTTCCGAACCTGCATTAGTGGTAGTTGCTTCACGACGACGATGCCACAGATGAACGCTGGCTGGAATGGTTCGACTCGAAGATTGCTCTTCTGATCAACAGGGCTGGTGTTGATCCGCGCGACTACGGCGGGAAGAGCTTTGATGAGTGCGTTTGCTCGATCTCATGCGGATTCCCTTCCCCTGACTTTAGTCCACAGTGAACTTTCGAAAGCCGTGGAACCCTATATTAAACAGGAAGATGAGGGCCGTTTCCGGTGTAAGACTTGCCAAAAGCTTTTTAAGGCAACTTCGTTTGTGGAGAAGCACATCGCGAATAAGCACCCTGAACTTGTCAGGCAATTGGATGAGGTAAGGCAGCTGACTTATATATTCGTTTGGATTGAGATGTTGCCAGGTTCCGTACTTCAACAACTTCGCTCTCGATCCTCACCGAATTCAGCCTTTTGCACATCCTCCTCCCGCGACTGGTAACAATCAAGCTCCTCCACAAGCTTATGGCATTCAGGGACCAACCGTTTATCCTCCGGATTATGGGCGACCCAATTCGTATTACGGTGTTCATCCTCCGACCTATGTTCCGCCGCCTCCTTATGTAAACGCTGGCTATTGGGATCATTATGGCTACCAGTACGGACCAGCTGCTGCTTTCCCTCCCGTACCTCCCCGAAGGGAAGAGGTTATGACAGCACGTCGCCTGAGTGATCGTATCAGCGGCTATGCAATGGGATTCGACCAGCAGACCTCGGAGATCACATTGCCTGTTGGTGCCGGCCTGCCGCCCAAGCCTGCTGTGACAATGGATGCACCACTAGATAGCGGCCATAGAAAGGGTGGTCGGCGTCAGGGTGTGAGCGGTGGGCCACCACCCCCACCGCCGCCCGATGCCAGGGAGGATCCTCGAGCTGCTGCGGGAAAGAAAGTCAGCTACCACGACATGGACCTGGTTGCTGAGGGGGACGTTGAGCTGACTTATTAATTTACCTTACCATACGAGTCTTTTGTTATTTCATATATCGCTTCCCTCGTTTGAAATGCACTGGTGCTACTGGAATGGTTCGAGGCACCGTTAGATCGTAGGGGGACCACCTGGATGAGGTGTGTTTGGAATCTGCCACGCGTGACTACCGGTCACTCAAAAAGGCAGGGTCTAAGGAAATGACCTGCCGTTGCCGAGCATGGGGGTCAACGTCAACCGGGTACCCTTCACTCCTTTCCATACATAACACCCCATCCCAGACCTGTCACCTTCCACGTATATTCTGGTGAGGATTGTCCTTTAAACTCTCGTCTAAATTGTCGCCCTAGCCTGGTACTACTTTCCACCTCCCACTCCTGCCTTCTGCCTCACCGTATCGGTTGTTGGCCATGAGCGGGGTAAAACAGGCCGCCTATCCTCGCACTCACGCGTCTTTTCACTGTGATGACGGTCCATCGACTTCTGAGCACCCTGGCCCAAACAGGTTCAGTTTGACTTGGGCAGTAGAGCCGCCGCTGTCTTTCCACGGGCCCGTGGTATACGCGCTCGAGCGATCTGGCACTGGTAGCTCAACATCGGATGGGGAGTCGGATCATTCAGAAAAAGACCACCACTCTTCGCTTAGCGGGCGGTACTCTCAGGATGAGGCCTCTTCGGATTCCGATGGTGTCGCGAGCTATCGCTTTAAAGCGCAGCAACAGCACTCGCCTGATGGAACTCCTCATGCCCACAATTTATCGCGCCCGTTCTCGGCGCCGTCACCATCCCAACTAGAGCACCTGCAAAACCCGCGCAGACAATACCATGGTCTGATCTCTCCAGTGTCCGACGAAACGTTGTCGTTGTCGCCTCGTTGCGATTCGCAGCCAGATATCGCACACCTTCATGAACTCTCTCTAGAACTTGCGGACTCCGTTCAAATGGTCGTGCAGACGCTCTTACAGATATGTCCTGTCCAAATTTTGGACCCGGCCAAGGAGCAGTACGCAGCATGTTCGTTGCTGGTGCCCACAACCTGCATGTCTGCTATGCTGACGACCATGAAGAACCTTAACTTCGTCTCTGCGAATATGTCTGAGTTATTTGTAAATTCCGGACTGTCCCAACAGATGGAACATGAACTTTCCACGCCTAGCGCGCCGATCGCCGTTTCAGACTTTGATATCGCCGAAACCCTGCAAGGTGTTGGCGATGCCCTCAGCGGGTGCGCAGCAGAAGTAGGTGCGGACCTGGTCCTCTTTCATGGAGATGTGGGTTTGAGACATGTTGTCGTCCGAGGGGAAGAGTTTGCTTTGTCTACTACCTTGACACACGTGAGCATATCTCGCAAGAAGTTCCCTGGCCTTTCTGATTCAAAAGCAAGGTTATCCGACAAGTGATCAGCACTGCGCGCCCAGGAGATTCGGTTGATGTCGGCCTATCTATCAAATCTCCATCAGATAGTGACTCTCCCGAATCCCCTACAACCGAGGGAACAACGGGGAAGAGGGATGATGGCTCGCTTCCCTGGTCTGCGAGCGACGGACACGTTTTCTGTGTCTTTGAAATAACGCACAATTTCGGGGATTCTGATATGGACGATGACATGGCCACTACGCCAACGAATCCCGATCCGAGCCCTCTTCGGTCCAGACAAAACTTTACAAGTCCGCTAGCTCAGCGGTTATTTTTACGCTCCAAGGCATCTTTCACTTGCGACTTGCCCAGACGAAGCAATCTCCCAGGGCGTGTCTGTGAAATTGCTTTCCGTTTGGAGCGAGGGTCCCTGAGCGCCATTAATGCCAGACCAGCCCCTGTGTCAGGTAGTGCATCACCCCTCTTATCCGGAACCCGCACTGCCAAGGAACCGACCCTGGAAGAATTGACGCAGTTCTCGGAATCACTGCGTGGAAAGAAAGCGACCCTGTATGCGTGCGGCAGCAGCTCCTTTGCCCATCACTTAACGAGTTACCTCACTGCTTGGGGATTGGATGTCAGCCACGTGTCGCCTGAGCAGGAAGGCGAACCCTTTGGCGCCGGGGAAGCTGCGGCCCCCGTTTCCCCTGAAAGTGCCCAGGCCCCATTGAACAACACCTCTTACGCCAAACCAAAGAATCGGCAGTGGAACACGTCCGAGTCTCACAATCCGCATGAGAACGCCGGCGCACCAAATGGCGGTGCCCGCAGTCCCTCGGTGTCATTTATTTTTATTGATGACAATGTCTCTGTTTTGCGCGAGCAGATACAGAAATATCGCGCGGAGCAGCACAGCTCGTCGTCTTCAGCGTTCTCTCGCAAGCGACCGTCATTCAACCATCGACCTAAATCCACCCCTCAAGTAGCCAGAGCAATGGGTTACGGGCCGTCGTCAACCCCTCCATCCGGTGTCGCAAATATTGTCGTCCATTTCACCAGTCTCACGAATTACAAAGTAGTCAGGGACATCGTGCAATGCGACCTGGCCGCCAATGCATTTCAGCCTCCACTGGAGGTTATGATTATCCCCAAGCCAGCCGGTCCTCGCAGGTTCCTTACGGCACTTCATACGGCCTTGACCAAACCGCACGTTGACCCTTCCTTCACTCCTATTGCCACATCCCCAGTAAGCCCTGCGATACACGGGTCTCCATTCTTCAGCCAAGTACCACCAACTTGTCCCAAGTCGCCGTTGACGCGGCCCTGGAGTTCTGCTCGTTCGGCATCTGACAGGTCAGTGGTGAAGTCGCCACGGGATGGCACTACCCACGTTTTGCATCCACCGTCGCCACTTTCCATCGCAGATACCGCAGAATACTTCCCTGATGGATCGGCTCCGGCCAGTGGGCTCATGATCTCGAGTCCGGACGGCCAACCTGCCGGTATCGTATTCAACCCTCGTGCAAAAGTCGTACGACAACCATCAGCTAGTTCTCTAAGTGACAGGGCAAACAAGATACAATTCCTTTCACCGAAGCAGGAGAGGTTGCGCTCAAAGAGTCCACCGCACTTTTCTCTTCCTTTCGCGACGGTACATCCTTCTGGTCTTTCCCGACAGGATACGCAGAGTCCTACTGAAACCCCGACATCGACGCATTTGAACGAAAGCAGGAAGGTTAGGAAGTCTTCTGTCCTTGCCGATGACGAGCCACCGGCGCAGTCTGCTGCTGCCCCGCTGCCTCGGAGGTCGAACACTGCAGAATCAAGGAAGACACCATCGCAGCCGGGGTCGCCAAGCGGTGTGGAATCTCCGACCAGTTGGTTTGCAAGGAGGAAGGCAAAGCGTGCTGCATTAAGCCAAAAGATGGCCATGCAAGGGTCTGCTTCGAACAAAACCGGCAAGGGCGCTTCGGAAACCATGATTGTCCCGCCAATCAGTGTGCTCATCGTTGACGGTAGGCGACCTAACAAAGATGGGCGTGGAACAACCCCTTTCTGACGCACGTCGCTATCTAGATAACCCCATCAATCGCACTATTCTTTCCACGTTCATGAAGAAAAAGAAGGTGAAATATGATGTTGCAAAAAATGGAGCAGAAGCGGTGGAGAAGTGGCGGGATGGCAATTTCCAACTTATTCTCGTGAGTGCATTGTCGCATTCGAAGGAGTCATGGAGCGTGATAATATATGGAAAGATGGATATACAAATGCCGGTCATGGATGGTATCGAAGCGACAAAGGAGATACGAGACCTCGAAAGCCAAAAGGCTGCCTGTGTACCAGTGACTCCCCAGTCCGACGGCGGTCCACGTACGCCCCCCGACGACTTTCGTGCATCCTCTTACCACCACTCGGTGATTATCGTTGCACTGACGGCATCTTCTCTCGAGAGCGATCGAGTTGCGGCACTTGCTGCTGGGTGCAACGATTTCTTGACAAAACCCGTGTCTCTTCAGTGGCTCAACAACAAGATCATCGAATGGGGCGCAATCAAGACCTTACAGATGTGGGCAGATATGCCTTCTGATGAAGAAAAGACACTTTCTTCTGAACAGTCCGTGCAAGCCCAAGTCGTCGCGCGGCGGTTGCATGTGCCAGATGGCCGGGTCACGCCGGTGGGCGATGGTGCTAGCCGATCCTCGCCCAAGGGTCGGGTTGAAGGCTCATCTGAGGCAATACCCACCACCACATCCTCCACAATCGCGCCCGCGCCCGCGGAGAAAGCTGCTGATGGCCAAGACGATCCTGCAGGCACGATGCCACCCTGCGACACTGGTGGGAATGGAGAATGGCAGGATAGGGAACCAGCTACAGGTGATTTTTTTAGGAAAAAGAGAAAAGAGAAAATGTCCATCCTGATTCATGTTCCAGTCGCCAAAACCTCACCTTGTTCAGGTGCACATACATGAACTCGAGCAACGTTGACAGGCTAACACAGGTTGCAGACGATATGGGGAAACCGGCAATGATTACCGAAAAGGAAGTAGCTTCCAGCGCATTACCCTCTCCCCCAGGTGAGCCTTATCGATTGAGATGTCATGAGCATGGGCAAAGACTCTTTAAAAGAAAGCGAACCTTCGAGTACGAGTAGCGAGACTTGCTCGGTACTACCATCTGTTGGTAGTGATGGTGCGCCTGAGCGGCCGATCCCACAGGAGTCGCCCTGACGGTGGTGGGCGACCTTCGGAAGACTTTTCATGATGCTCACTGCGCCCTATATCTTCCCGTTACATCTGAAGGTCGCCGCGTTCTTCCGCAAATACATCTAGGTCTGCATGCACATTGTTCACATTGTTCATCTTTGTTTTTCGATTGGGCTTTTTGGTTGGCTTTTGTGATTTTTGTGATCGGTTGATGATTATGGGTTGCTGTGGTCGAACGTATTACACACATTGCTACGTCGCTGGGTCAATGAATCACGTCACGTCACTAGTATACATGAAGACACCGGTAGTTTTACGTGGGACACAGTACTCGTGGTTATGCATGTGGTGATCAATTGGGACATGTGCAGTGGGTCGATGACATTGATCAGAACGATAGTGACGTTGAGCGCGACACGAGGCTGGCAATAGACTATTAAATTCCCAAGAAGCCTGTGAACGCCGTGATTCTCTGAAGACACTGAGGGAGAATAGGAGCAGAGGGGCGATTGAGAGGTTCGCGGCTCAGAGGTGCCGAGACAGCGCCGGGGGCAGTTGCCGGACGGCCGAGTGGGCGTGTCGAGTCGGAGTCAGTGGACGAACTCTCTACTCCGACTCCGCGACTTGCACCACCTCCTTCTGAGCTCAGAGTCGTCCGTTGTCTCTACCGAACTTACACATCCTCTGCACCCGCGTGCCGACGCTCGTCGTGGTGTGTACTGGTGGTATCAGCAATGAACGGAATGCATGACAACCACAAGCGTACCTCCATCAGCCAACTCCTCAACCCATCCTCCGACTCTTCTGCCTATTCCCATGCTCCTCATCTCCCAAGTCTCTCGTCTGGCCCCGGCGTGCCCCCATATCAACATCCTCAGCATCCCCACCACGCACAGTACCCCCAACATCCCGGCACTGCTTCCTCCTTTCACCTGCGCGCGGCAAGTTGGGGACCCGTCAACGATGATCAGTCTGGAACGAAACGCAGGCCCGAAACCGGGCTGCCTCTTCCTGCCCGTCCATACCCTATGCAGCCGCACATGTATCCTGAGATGAATGGTGGTGACATGCAAAGCAGACAGGTTCGCCCGCGAATGGAGGACAGTGGGCCTTACCCCATGTCCGGCAACCCGTGGCCACATCCTCAGCCAGAGATGTCAAACGTCCACTATGGCCCCCCTGCTGTGACCCCGATGTACTCGGACGAACGAACTGGTAATGCAACTCGAACCCATCTCTCTACCTAAACTCTGACTCCTAGGTGTTCGACACAGCGATATCTGGAGATTATCCCCAAAATAGTTCGATTCCTGTCACTTTCTACATGACTCCCACTGACTCGCAATTCAACAAAATTAGATCAATTTCCACAATCCTCTCAGCAACAACAATTGCATCCTATGAGTTCTCACCCCCATGGTGGTAATTATCATTTTTGTCATACATACCCACCACTTTATTTCTAAGTCATTCTCGCCATCAAGCTTTACAGAATGCTGAAAGGGCCTCCGTTCGTCTAGCAGCTGCACGATATACCCTACCTGCACAGCCCATGTACGAAATGGGTGCATTGGTGCACGCACCACCTGCAATGTTCCCTGCCATGCTGTACTCGCATCATCCTCCCCCAACCCAGGTACAGAAGCGCCCCTCTACTGAAGCCGACGATCCTCCTTCCAAATCCAAGAAGGCAAGAACGAAATCGAAAGCTGGCGATGGGAATGGTAAGACATGCAGGCTCGACATGCCATCCTCAGAATTTGCTCATGCCCTTAAAGCGCCTTCGAAACGTGGATACAATGCCAAAAAGAGGAGTGAGGCAGCTCAGATTGCTGCTCAAAATGGTCAGTATATCTCCCTTTGGAATCCGCTGACATTGAATCTTCTACAGCACAACTCATGCCAGCCATCCCCTATGTTGTCGCTCCTGGAGATAAGGGAAAGGAGAGGGTAGGAGGTAAACTTTCGCATTGTTCGCTTCAAAAAACTTTCGGCTGATTTAGACAGGTGGAATGCTCTTCGTCATGGCGACCAATGGCGCGCAAGGTGACCCATCAACTATGACAACGGAGCTCCAGTTTGCTCGGTGCATGTCAAATCGATATAGGGCGGAACAATTCCCACGCTGCGTATCTTGTACACGACGCTGGGCCGGAGACACATGCAGATTCCAGGGTATTCGTTATTTCCTCAGGGACGACCAACGGAATATCCAGTATGTCAGCTTTGTGGAGAACCTTAAGCCAGATGCACCAAATATGAATATCCCTGGTCAATGGAACGTTCCGTTGACTGCTACACATATACGGCGGATAAAGGTAATTTAGCTGCGGCGCGCTGCCCTGAAGGTCGCTAACCTTCTTTTACGGCAACGGCAGAGAACTGTCGCTCAGGCTTTGTTGCCAACTCTCCGTAAGGAGTTGGGGCACCTTGCTGTCCATGAGTTAATACGGCGGACGCGAGAGAGCGAAGTCCGGGCCACGTGCGGTAAGTGTGGGCGCGATCATCTGGGTTTGTAATTTACGTTGCACATATCTACAGATACGTGCATGACTTCAATATTTTCGTGTAGTTGGATGTGCCGACTATGCGGTCGCGAAGCGTGTGCGGAATGCTTTGAACAAGTCAGGGAGTTGACCGAAGACCGACCAGGTGCCACACAGGCGGAGATCGCTACCCTTCAAGCACGACGAGAAAAGCATGCACATTCGAATCCGTTCTTCTTGTCCTGCACAAGAAGGAATGAGCACGTTTTCAAAGATTTCTCTCCTATGACGCGATTCTGCCAGACGGAGCTCGAGGAGGCGATAAAGGAGATGGAAGAGTTGCTACAGCAGCCAGATGTCGATGCACTACCCAATGTGGGAGCTATTGATCCAACCTTGCAGAACGGCATGGACGAAACTACAAAGACAACTGATACCGGACAGTGCGCCGATGCATCTGGTAATGAAGCACATGGTGTAACGAGTTCGCCCCAGGTAGGCACTGTCAACGGGGATGCTCAGGGAGCAGAAGGGACAACGCTGGTCTGCGCCAATGCAGGCCAGTCGGGGATCTCTCTGGATACAGACTCGCAACAAGAGGGTCCTGGTGGCTCTCCCGACATACCGTCATACCCAACTGTTACCTATCCCTGATTCTGATCTGACTGAGGACGTCTTTCGATCGCTTTGGGTGAAAGGAGAGCCCCTTGTAGTTACTGGAATCCTTCCTAAGTTCCAGATTCAGTGGACACCCGAGTACTTCGTGCAGAAGTACAATTCGCAGAGTTGCCTGATCCTTGAGTGCCAAACCGATATCAACAGAAGGGTCACTGTGGGCGAATTTTTCTCTCAGTTCGGGGAATACCAGGGTAGAACAGAATGTTGGAAGTTGAAGGCAAGTGACTTACGTTGATGCAGGTGAATCTAATACTGAATGATCCCAGGACTGGCCTCCGTCGACTGACTTCAAGACGGCGTTCCCCGAACTCTACGAAGACTTCAGCAGAGCTGTACCGGTACCTAGTTATTCTAGACGTGATGGAGCACTAAACATCGCTTCGCACTTCCCAATTAACACGGTAGCTCCAGACCTTGGTATGTGAACTGTGAAGTAGGGATCATCGGGATTGACGTGCCATCAGGACCCAAGATGTACAACGCGATGGCGTCGTCCGAGTCTCCTGGGAGCAAAGGCTCGACACGCTTGCACATGGATATGGCAGATGCTTTGAACATCATGACGTATACTGCACCAACTCCAGACGGAAAACCAGGCTGTGCGGCATGGGACTTGTTCCGTGCTAGTGACTCCCCTAAACTGCGCCAATTCTTGCGGCGGAAGTTCAAGGCCACTAACTATCAGCATGATCCAATACACTCACAGCAATTTTATTTGGATAGTCAATTGAGGAAGGAGCTGTTTGATACATTCGGAGTAAAAAGTCATAGAGTTTATCAAAAACCAGGGGAGGCCGTGTTTATACCCGCCGGGTGCGCCCATCAGGTGAGTACATGCTATATCGCGAATTGTCAGACGTTCACCTAGGGCCACTCCCAAGGTCTGTAATCTGGCTGACTGCGTGAAAGTTGCAATCGACTTCGTCAGCCCGGAGAACATTGCTCGATGCGAACAACTTACTAAAGAATTCCGAGAACAGAACCAGTCGATGGCGTGGAAAGAGGATGTCCTACAGCTGCGCACCATGATGTGGTATGCATGGCTATCTTGTTGCCGACAGGAGAAGGAGATGAATGAAATTTAACGCGAGTTCATTCATCGTTCGTCTTTCTTCGAGGAAGGATGGATCACCTTTTTGGATTGTATGATAAGTATAACAATTTGCTTGCTTGCAAGGTTGGAGGGAGCGCTGGTTAAGCCACGCAGGGAGAACAGGATTTGCAAACTAATGCCGCATCTGCTTTCTTGTGTACATGCACGCACTACCTTACTTGTAGCCTTTGAATGCAGCGATATGATTTCGTTCTGTAGAAAGATATACAATATACTGCGGATCTGACGGGAGAAATACATCGTAATATTCCTGGACGTTGTTAGGCCCAGGTCTGTAAACTCTTTGTCGGGGTTGATCATGCCGGGCCGACCTCCGGTCACGTGTCGGGGGTGGGTTAACTCAATTCGCAATAGGGATTTTGTCGATGTACATTGTGTCTAGCAGACTACATGGAGGCACATGGGAGATTGTGCACATCTCATAGACAGTGGCATACACTGCTTGTATATTGACATTACTGGAGTCAGTGATGGTTCTGTGATCTCTTATGAGTTCCTGCAGCAAGAATATGCATTTGAGTGTGTTACTGTGTATGATGATTTTTGTGCCAGGTCAGCAGACCTTGAAGGCTCCATGCTGGTATGTTGTGCAGACTCTGTTTGCAAGCTTGTTGAACAGTATCTGTATTTGATGTTGAAGCAACTTAGAGCTATTGCTGGTCATCACAATTTGGTTCTGCATAGTAACTTGCTTTGAGTGATGTGTGTTGATGTGCTACACAATCATCATTGTATGGTTTCCTGTCTTTTGCTGGTGTACATGTTTGTGGCTCTTCATCATTATGTGCCCCACCCATCCTCCACATTATAAATGACTGCTTGTATGCCACCCTCTCCCACCCCATAATCCATTAACTGTTATGCCTGAGTGTGGTGACTTCTTCAAATGGAATAGGCATGAAGCACATGAGGGGGAGACTATGGGCTGAATGTATTGTAACTGTTATGCCCGGGTGCGGTGACTTCTTCAAATGGAATAGGCACGAAGCACGTGAGGGGGAGACTACGGGCCGAACGTATCGTAACCCCTATGGCTGAGTTATCACGAGGATCCGACAAAGGTTCTGTCTTCTGACAAGTCCCGAAGGTTGTTCGTTCGGAGATAGAACAAGGATCGAAGCGAAGTAATTAGCTCAGTTGCAAGCTATTGAAAAACTGAGGATACACGGTAAAGTACGTAGGTTTATATACCCCTAAGTAAGAGTACCATACCAGTCGTGAGCGACGTGTCGCGATGCGTATCCGCAGTAATCAACGAACTAATCAATCAAATAAACAAGAGTCATATGGTGTCAATGATGGGGGTAGCGAAGGGGACGAAGGCTATACCGGCTGCACCGCAGGCACACAGCAAGGAGCCAGACACCAGAGCTATAGTACAACATATGGGCAATATAAATGAGTCAGCAAAGAGGGAACGGATCAAGAAAGAAACATATCGTCCATCAGGAGGCAGTACCGGGATACTGGGTCAATGGTGATGAGTCTCGACAGGTATTGGAAATACCTGGACAGCTGGAGATCCAAGGTGTCCCTGGAGCATACAAACCCCTAGGACGGCGACGATTACGAGGGATGCGACAAGGCACGTGATGCACATGACTGCGAGAAGCCGAAAAAGGCAAGACCCCTGGTGGAAGCGTAACATCACCCCCCCTCTAAGGTCCTCAGACCCTTGAGGACGGGCTGGAAGCCGCATTAGCGGGGCGAGCGGATAGGGGTCAGCGAGTAGTGTAAATGCAGGAACGCGTTTGAGATGCGACGGGCAACGATGGCGATGGAGATGGCGACTCCTCGAAGACTGGAGTAAAACGGGAGCCGTGTCCATTGCAGCAGGACCAATGTCCCAGGTAATGACACTGGAAGCATGCATGTGGATATAGGACGTGACCCTCGGGTACCGGGGTCTGTCCTCTGAGGTAGTACCGAAGCTGATCGAGAGGGACGGGGAGAAAGGGAGCTGCAGGGATAGGGTCGGAGGCGTGGACGGAGTTATGGTATTGTTTGTGCATTCCTGCCCACGACGCATCCTGCAAAAGAACCTCCCACGAGGAATTGTGAGTCCCTGTCCCAAGTCGAGCACCAACCTCTTTAAACAGCTCTCCAGAGTCGACAAACCCTAACTCCACAGTGCGCCAACGTTTCTCCTTCTCCTGATCCGGTATATCTTCTTTCAATTTATCGTCTGAAGCTGGGGAAACCTTCTTTGGAACAATCCGGTCTAGGATACGAGAAGCTGGTGCCAGGAACTCCCCTAACTGTTGTTGCCGTAAGTGATGATAGGCACCACCCGTAATAGCTTCCGTAAGATCGCTAGAAGCTTTTTCGAGCATGTCGATCATGATTACCTCCAAAAGTGGCGCTATACCGCTCAACTTCCTGGTACAGATCCTGGAGACCAACCCGTTAATTACGTCTGACGCTCGGTAGATCTCAGACAGCATCCCAAAATACGAAACCTGTTCTGGTGAGCACCCGTTAATGTTGTCCCTGTCGTGGAAGACGTCAAGTGCCCGCACAACATCCAGGTAGTCAGCTGCTGGGATTGGTAGTCTTTGCTGGTCTGCCCTGGCAGAGGCAGTTGCGGCAAGGACATCAAGGGCCGTGCGATGGGCTTGGTCAGAGTAGGTTGTGAAGGCGGAGCGTACGTCAGGAGATTTGGCAACATTGGTGCTACTGGCGAGGGCTCCTGAGTTATCGGAGTCATGGTCAGTCCGTGCCTTACCCTTTCCCTTGAGGCTACTGTCCTCTCCACGGAGGACTCTGACCTTGGGGGCAGGGACGTGCCTGATCGTGACTGACGGGAGTGGATGCAGTCGGAGAGAGCAGGTGACAGGGGGCGATACCGGACGGGGTTGGGAGACAGGCGAGGAGTACCCTGAGATATAAAAGCTGGAGGGGGATGTTGGAGGTGAGGTCGGGGCATAGACAGTGACTGGGGGTAAGACCCCATCGTCGTTGGAGTCATAAAGGGGTTCTGCAGAGGTGAGGAGGTCGACATAATCATTTTCAGTATTTATGGAGCGAGGGGAATCCATTTAACTCTTTAGGTGACGGGCAAGCTTGTACTGGTCGAGTGCTTCCTGAGCATGCTCCTTTATATGCTCTTCGGGTTCCCAAGTATTTGATGAATGGGGGAATCCTTTCCACTTGACCAAGTACCGCCTCTTTCCACAGCGACCATCAGTTTTGTGATTTATTATGGACTCAACCTCCCATTCGATCTCATCATCAACCAACTCTGGCAGGGGTGCTGTGGGCGCAGCTCCATACACTTCGTTTTCGATGTACGGAAAGATCCAAGAGGCATGAAACACCGGGTGAACCTTCCAGGTCCCTGGGAGGTCCAATCAGAACGCAACAGGTGACATGATCTGAGTCACCTTGAAAGGCCCGAGACGTCAGGGCGCAAGCTTCTCGCACTGGTTTTGAATCCACAGATGGCCGGTATCCAGGAGAACCATATCTCCAACCTTGGGTGCAACATAAGTCCCTTTTGATTGAGACTTCATTACTTCCCATGCTTTCTTGTGTGCTAGGATTGCGACATCTCGAGATGCTGCCAACCGTTCCAATCTTTCTTCTACCAAGGGGACCGGGGTTAACCAAGTTTCGGGGTAAGGAGAGGGGTTGTATCCAAGGAGCAAGGAAAACGGAGTCATTTTGTGGACAGAATGTACCCGGGAGTTGTGGGCGAACTCAGCGGAGGGAAGTTTGGTGGCCCATGAGTTGGGAAACTCGGAACAATAGAGCCAAAGATATCCTTCAACCTCCTGGTTGACGCATTCGCTTTCTCCATTTGTTTGGGGGTGATATCCAGTCGACATCCTAGTCTTGACCCCTATAGCTTTGTAAAGTTCCTTGGTAAATGATGACACGAACTGCGGGCCTCAATTGGAGATCACTGATTCCGGTATTCCATATCAGGTGTATATGAACCGATGGAATAGCTTCGCGAGTCTGATGGAGTCAATTGTCTTGTGGCAAGGAACAAACAGGGCAGCCTTGGTAAGCCCTTGATCTACAACCATAAGGATGGAGTCATATTTGTCCTCCCCAGACACGGGGAGATCCGTGATAAGGTCCATAGAAATTTGTTGGAAGGGGAAGATGGAATTTGGCATTTCGTGGGGAACGACCGGGGGAGTTGGCGGATGAGTGATGACCTTGGTGGTTTGGCATGCGGGGCATCCAGCGATGTACTTCCGGATATCCTTCATCATCCCTTCCCACCATACTTCCTTTTTCATTTTAGCGAACATCACCTTCTGTCTGGGGTGTCCCACTGACTCGTGGTCGTGATAGGAACACATGCAGTGCTGGCGATGATCGGGGGGAATATATAACCAGGTAGTTCCGAAATGTTTCGTTCCATCTGGCGTGGTAGTTACGTTTTCTCGAGGTTCCGGACCTTCGGTGCTTTTAGAAGCATCGTTTTTGATCCGTTCATATAGTTCTGTCGACACAGCATAAACACCTCTGGCTCCTTTGACAATTTCCTCAGAAGGGCAAGTGTCAGGCAGCCGACTTCCCTTTGACTGTACCTCAACCGGGTGGGAATACAGCTTGGTGGTAGTGTGCGACCATGTCGTTTTAGCGGGGAGACGTCCTATTTGACATAAACGATTAATTCTTTGTTGTTTCTGTATTTTTGTGAGGGAAAAAGAGGGTGAAACAAGGTGAATTTGCAGGAGACCCACCCCCTCCGAAAGCCAAAGGTCTGGGGGGAGGACCGTGGCCACCGGGGCGGGTTCAACAACCTCGCTTTTACAGGATAAGGTATCGGCAGGGACCTGTAGTCGACCAGCCTGCCACGAGAACCGGATGGGGTAAGACTGGACCGTAGCGGCCCATCTTGCCTGGTGGGGGGTAAGTTGTTGCGGTTCACGGTAGTATTCCAGGTTCTTGTGGTCAGTAAAGACCACAGTCGGTGCGACCGGGGAAAGGAGGTAGGGGCAGAAAGCTTTCAGTGCCCGAATGACAGTGAGCATCTCCAGATCATAGACCTGGTATCGCTGCTCGGCCCCCACCAAGGACTGAGACAGGTAGGAGCAGGGGTGCCATTTGTCATTGGTTCCCTTTTGGGCAAGAACCGTGCCAGTGCTGAGCTTTGAGGCATCCGTAAACAAAGCGAAGGGTTTGGAGAAGTCTGGGATAGTAAGAACCGGCGCTGAGCATAACAAAGATTTTAACTTCTCGAAAGCTTTGTCACACTCGGGGGTCCAAGTATAGGACACTCCCTTCTTTGTAAGATCATGTAGGGGACG